GTGCCATCCATTTACCTGTGAATTTCAAGATTCAATTGTCTTTTTCTCCTAAGTAATACTCCATTGTGTAAATGTACCGCATTTTCTCTATCCCCTCTTCAGGTGAGGGGCATCTAGGTTGCTTCCAGGTTCTGGCTATTACAAATAATGCTACTATGAACATAGTGGAGCAAATGCCCTGCTGTATGAATTTGCCTCTTTTGGATATATGACTAAGACTAGAATTGCTGGGTCTTGTCATAATGTCTTTAAAATAATAAAAATTATTTAACTAATTGTGCCTTAATAATGGTACTCAATTCTTTTTTAAATTTTTTAATTTAAATTAAATAAGCTTGCTTCACATGTCAATACCAGCTCCCTCACTCTCCCCTCCTCCCCTGACCTCCCGCAGGGAGGGTGAGGCCCTCCATGGGGGAATCTCCAAAGTCAGTCATATCATCTGCGGCAGGGCCTGTTCACTCCCCCATGTGTCCAGGCTGAGAGAGTGTCCCTCCACGTGGAATGGGCTCCCCAAGTTCATTTGTAAGCTAGGGATAAATACAGATCTACTACCCCGGATCCCATAGATTACTGAGACCGCCTCACTGACACCCAAAATTTAGGGGGTCTGGATCAGTCCCATGTTGCCCTACCAGCCATCAGTTTGGTGTCCATGAGCTCCCCCTTGTTCAGGTCAGCAGTTTCTGTGGATTACACCAGCTTGGTCTTGACCCCTTTGCTCATGACTCCAATACTCAATTCTTATCTGCAGCTGTCATATAGAGCAGCATATCAGACCAAGTGACCAAAATTGACTGCTGATTTGACACCAGCTTATCATGCACTAGGGAACTGCATTCATTGCATGACTTTCATTCTGGTCATATCTCACATTGTCCAGCACATTGGCCTCTTGTAGCTACAAAACATCACTTGGATGACATAGATATAGTAACATATCAGGACAACTGAAAACTTCTCACTGCTTCATATTGGTAAAGTGAGTAATTTTGAAAAAATGGACTATATTATTGATTACTGGATCACTAATAAGAATGCCTCTGTATTTTCACAGATAAGTAGAACTTGGTATTGTTCTTGGCAGAGAAATCCCCGAGAGACATCCAAGGTAATTATTTTCAGGATTCTCATTTTGTTCAGAAAATAGAACAAGTCAATTCACTCATGGGACAACTTCAGCAAGAAAATATAAGTCAGGCTTAGAAGATGTGTTTCAAAATATTGCATCTTCAAGAAATTGATGTCTTTACAAGCACACATTCGATGGAAGAAAATATAATCTAGGAGGAAAATGTGAGTTTGGTAAATCATCTCATTTCCCTGACATTCTACTTTAAGATAATTCTTGAAATATTCCTAGGTATCCCTTCTAGCAATTTCATTATATATGGACCTGAACATTTTTTTATCTTCTGTCATTTTTAGAAGCCAATTAAATGATTTTTCTATCTTTTAAGCCACCAGAATTTTCCATGGATTAACATCTGTGCATCTGTCACCAAAAGGCATATACCTTCAGCGTGTAGTTTCTGGGTCAGAAGATCATAATTTCTTATCCAGTGATAAGTATTAGCAGCATCAAGCTACCATTATACAAGAATTTCATGTCTTAATTAGGAATAACATTGTTTAATCTTAGATTTCACAGTAGATAAGATCATTTTCAGCTCAGAAACAAACAGGAGTAAATAGGAGAAATAGGAGTAAATAGTCAAGTGAGGGGAGCATAAAACTTGCTAACTTCAGAAATCAGATCAAACAATATGCCAGAAAACAAAACATTAGGAGCAACTACAGTACAATTCTAAGTCATCAGGATCTAGGACATAGTATCTATTAAAGCGATTAATTTTGACTATGTCCACAAATGCTTACAAAAATGCAAATATTAACACTATTAAAGAGTTTAGAACTTTGATACAGAACTACATACATGGAAAAAAATCTTCAGACAGCGAAAAGAGTAAATAATTGGTTTAAATGCTTCTCTGTTGATTTTTCAACATTATTCATCTAAAAGTTAAAGTTAGTAATTTCTATGAGAATAACCACCAAGTTATTCCTCTAAAATACTTAGAGCAATTCTGAGAAATGGAAACATGAAATGTTTGTTTTTTTTTTCTAGAAAACATGCAACATGACTAATGTGTCCTTTGCATCTGCATATTTCACTGAGTTGGTGTATGTCAATTTAAAGGAAATGTAAGTATCAAGTATTTTGAAGAAAAATTATATGGCTACCACAACCTTGAAATGTTTATCACATGGGTAAGCAAAAACTACATAATGACCATACAAGTTGCAAGTTAATGTGGATGGAGGAAATTTGATGGGCTTGTATGTCCATGTGAAAAGCCACAATCTACAACTGCTGGGAGAGGGAGAATCAAAGAGAATTAAAGGCCCTGATAGGTTCCCCAGTCCCAAGTGGTCAATCCTGAACACATGCCAAGATGGGCAACACTAAATGGACTCAATAATACGTGTATGTGTGTGCATATAACAATAGTTAAAGAAAAAGAGGTCATACCTTTGAGAGATAGCTGGTGGGAGCCATGATGGTAGGAGTTGTAAGTGGGAAGTGGGTGGGGAAGAAAAATGTAAACACAGTACTCATACATGAGATCAAAACAATTCTAATTTTGTAATTTGAAAATGTCTTAATTATATTTCCAATTTTGTCACTCAGATACTTTACCCTTCAAACCAGAAAAAATAGTATCAATAACTTTGTGCAGTGCTTAATCTTTATTGAATAATAAAGTAATGAGACTAAAAAAAGTTATATATATTTATACATGCACAATCTTAAAATGTTCCACTGAACAATAAAATCATTTCCTAAAATAATACAAACAATATTGTTTTAAGATGTATATGAAGGTATGCAGGAGACAATTCCTGTGGGTCATTTTACTACAAATACTAGAAAAATCTTCTTTATTTCTCTTTGTGTGTTGTTTTGCACCTTCCCAATACAGTACTGACTTAAGTATGCTAATTTTGTAGGTAAAGAATAGGAACATACTTCTAAGGCAATTGCATACATATTGTTAATCATTAAATAGATAAAAATCAGATCTTATTTAAAATCAATGCCTAATCTAGTAACTGCACCAAACATTGGTTAATATTAACAAATGAAAATGATCATTCCTCCATAATTCTGAATAATAATAAAATAAAACTTAATTTTAAACGGTTACATTTTTAATGGCCAATTGTTTCCTAAGAATGTGTGTGTTCATCTTGGAGGAAATTTCTATCTTAAACACCTGAAATATTAATTTATATCATGTAAGTAAGTTGTTCTAGTTGTGAAAGCTATCCTGGTAATTTTTCCAGATGATAAGAAGCTAATTTAGAGGTAGAATTCAGATTATCAAAATTTTCAAGGTTCACAGACCTGTTAGGTATAATAGTGCATTTTCCTTAGACAATCTGGTAGTCTTTAAAAGTGCATGTATTTATTCCTAGCATGCAAGACTCTTAGCTACTACTGTGCTTCTATAGTAGTTACCTGATGTCTTTAGAATGTTCTTTTCATCCTTACCTATTGGAGTCCTCAATAAAAGAGAAGGTGAATTTAACTCTGATGATAACTACAGAAATGTCATTGTTCACCTGTTCTGTTTCTTCACAATAGCTATCTCGTAGAATAAAAGAATATGACCAAAAAATTGAAAGTCACCAAGAGAATTGCTGAAGGTGGAAGAATATGGGCAATGATGTCCCACCATCCAGCTGAGTGGTTTACCTTACAGAGCAGCATCAGCACTCCACCTGTGCTGTGGGGTGAATAACTACTGTTCACTGAAATTTCAACTTCACATTCATCCAAAGTGAACAAAGTCTTCCTTTGCTTACATGTTTATGTAACTGATTTTCGTCTCAAACAATATAGATGACCAATAGGTAAGTGACATAACGAGAAAGCAGATGATAGATTATATATTGTTCATGTCAGGAAACTATAGTATTTCAGTCTAAAGACTCTAAAAATTAGTTGACAGAATCCAAGATCAATATTTTCAACAGCTAAAACTGAACTAAATGTAACTTTCAGAATTCAGGTTTGAAATTGAGTGTTCTTTGATTACCACTTATACATGTATTTAAAATGGTAGCCCAATAAACAGTTTAGCTGGATAAGTAAATCCTATGATAAAATTTTCTTAGCAAAATATTGTGATTCTGTTTTTTACATCTCAGCCTCAAACCATGTGTTTTTATATGGTATTCTGTACAGCTTACCTCTGATGAGGTTGGAACATCTAATTTATAGCTTTAAACAAATATTTTAAATCAGTGATGTCACAGGAGATCAACTGATTCATTATCCATGTCACAATTCAATAGAATTAAAAAGAACCTTTGTACTGAGGTTCAACGTAATTTCTATCATGTTCAAAGTATAAACCTCATTTCTATTATGAAGTGCTATGTTTACCAGTGACTTATTTAAACCAATGTTATTTTACTAATGAACAGAAGTTCCTGCCCAGAAACCACACACATTTTTTAGGTTTCAAATTGCTGTCCTACTTCCTCCCTGCTCTCTGTATAGGAATTTCCTGATAGAACTTGTGTATAACAGTTACACCTGATGCTTCTCTTCATGGGGAGTTGGACTTGGCTCATTAGCTTTCACTTGGGCAGCAATGCTTCTCAAAGTAAGCAAATGTTTTTATATTTAGCTTTTCTGTTTCAGGTATAGATGTTAACTTTCTTTCCCTCTTTTTTTTTTGCTTTTTGAGACAGAGTTTCTCTGTGTAACAACTCTGGCTGGTCTAGAACTTGCTCTGTAGACCAGGCTGGCCTGGAACTCACACAGCTTTGCCTGCCTTTGCCTGTGGAGTGCTGGGATTAAAGGTGCACATGACAACCAACCAGCAGATGTTAACTTTCAATGGGAAGGTCAGACTCAACTAGCTAAATAATTTTCTGCATCCCTCCAATTTATCTTTCTTACCCCCACAGGTTGTTTCTGAAGTCACATGAGTAAAATGGATGGGAACAATCAGTCTGCAGTATCAGAATTTATACTTTATGGGCTTGCCCACTCAAAGAATCTTCAGGTCTTACTCTTTGTGATATTTTTGATATTTTATCTGCTTATTGTGTCTGGAAATATTGTCATCATGGTGTTAATCACGACTGACCCCCACCTCCATTCTCCCATGTACTTCTTGTTGGCCAACCTGTCCTTTGTTGATATGTGGCTTTCCTCTGTTACTACTCCTAAGATGATTGCAGACTTTCTCAGGAAAAACAAGACCATTTCCTTTGCAGGCTGCATGTCCCAGGTCTTCTTTGCCCATTGCATTGCAGCAGGAGAGATGGTACTGTTGGTGGTAATGGCTTATGACCGCTATGTGGCCATCTGCAAACCACTCCACTACTTCACCATTATGAACCTGAAAAGATGCACGGGGCTCGTCTTGACTTCCTGGACTATTGGCTTTGTGCATGCCGTGAGCCACCTTGTAGTGATTGTGGAGTTGCCTTTTTGTGGACCCAAGGAAATAGATAGTTTTTTCTGTGACATGCCATTGATAATCAAGCTAGCCTGCATGGATTCCCATGAACTAGACATTTTAATGAATGCTGAATGTGGGGTTGTGGGTGTAACTTGCTTCATTCTGTTGCTCATTTCCTACACATACATCCTTATCACTGTTCGCCAGAGCTCTAAATCTGGTGCATCTAAGGCTCTGTCCACATGCAGTGCCCACATCACAGTGGTGATGATACTTTTTGTTCCCTGCATCTTCATCTATGTGTGGCCCCTCAGTATTACCTGGTTGGACAAATTTCTTGCTGTATTTTACTCTGTTTTTACACCTCTCCTAAACCCAGCCATTTATACATTGAGAAATAAAGAGATGAAAAATGCTATGACACGATTTATAAACAACTATATAGATTCCAAAGGAAATTAGTAATAGTCAAAAACCTGCACCAAATACTTCAAGTAATAGAGACTGATCTCACAAAGTAAGTTTAAAATAAGGAAATTTACTTATAGTCAATAGTTTTGCCAGTTTCCCAATCCAGGTATGGGTTTAATATACTTGAAAACATAATTCTTACTAATCAGCCAGCATAACATTGTGAATTATTCACCTGTGAATCCATATATGAATGATCCTTCTTAGAGAAATGTTATTCGACCCATTCTGCATCCTCCTATGTCTTCCATAAAGTAGAACATTTGTTTACCAAACTTACATGCTTTCTTAGTAATAACTTGATAAGCTTCATTTGAATATACTTCTGTATATTACCACATCCCCCAAACTTTTAACTTAACCCCTGCCAAATGGCAACATCATCAACTTTTCTTAGCACAGATATATACTGAAATGCTAATGGAGATAGGAAGAAGAAATAAGAAAAAATGAGATAAAAGTAATAAACTGCACATGGAGTGGCAACAGACTTTACAATGTAATCTTTTTTAACTCAATAAGCATAATATCAAAATAAAAGTTTATTAATGAAGACTGGTGATACTTTCTAAGTTGTCTCAGTCTTGAGGACTGAAATTTTGCCAGGTGATTAATAATATTTATACAAAAATTTTAAATACAATCATCACTTTTTCATTGAATTGAGTCCTTTCCATGGAAGGAATCTATGGCTGAACTCGTAAGACTGACTAACATCCTTTAGCTGGGAGAGTGAAATGCAAATTCCTAAAGGGTGAATGTATTACTATTAGTTTGCAAAATGGTCCTATTGTTGAATACCCTTTAAATAGCCAAGTTTGTAACCATAGATCTGTACTATTATCAACCTTAGTGAGAGATACTTTTGAAGTGGGTTGTGATTAATGTGGAGACACAATAATATTCAAAGTACTCAGAAACCAATTGAACCTTAGTAAGTTTGATTATATGCATTACTTTCTGATGTTTATAAGTGTGACTCTGCAATAAGAAATGTGTGAGTGAATGTTCTCTTCCTACACATTCCCGCTTACTTGCAGCTATTTGGGAATTACCCAGGCTCCCATAAGTAACCCCTCAGCTTTGCTATGTAATAAACCTCTATAAACTCTGCTATAGACCACAGAACAATGCAGTGAGAGTTCATCAAATACTTCAGGGTCAATGCATCAGAGACTGCTTATCTCTTTAAGGACATTCCTCATTTAGCAAGGCTGTGAGAAATATTGTCACCAGAGATGAATATCTTGGACGGATCTGCAAGACCATAAGGAACATTGCCTTCTTAATGTGTCAGCTGTCCCCATTGCAGATTCTTGTGTGAAGAGCTCTTTCCCTCACATTAAAATTTGGGGATTCTTCACTCAGCACTACAGTGTATTAATCAATTACGAGGCACATTTTCTCCTATGCACTATAGGTATGTTGGATGACTTCACGAAGTAATTCATGATACAGTAAGAAAGTAATCACAGTCAATACCTTTGCTTGCTCAATTAGGTCTTCGTATGAATTTAGAAGTCTGTCCCTCTGCAATTATCATCCTTGGCAGACAGTTGATCAGCATTAGCGTCCAGGCAAAGAGACCTCAATTGAGACATTCACAGATGCCCAATGACAAGAATTATGTGTCTGAAGTTGTTGAGCTGTAGCTCTCAGAGAGATAGAGAACAGGAGTGTCCAGGATTCTGTCTGCCAGCAGATAAGGAAGTTTGTCCCAAGCTAATCCTGAGTTAACCTTTGGCTTATTTACCTAGTCACATTTAAGAAAAAAGCAAAGCACACATATTCTTTTAGAGTTCTTTAATAATGTAATCTCTCTCTCCCTTAATTAACCTTCTTTCCTTTTAAGAAGTTCCTGGAGACTTCAGCCACCCCAACCTTGAGCCATAGAACAGACTGACAGTTACCACTTTGTGTAAAACTTTCATCTGTTCCTATGACCCTGATGACTCTTATGATTCTATGACTCTTATCTCTGGCTTTGCACCTAGCTAGAGCTGGAGAATTGTAAGTGTGTATAGCTGGAAACTCTTACAGCACAGCAGAACAATAAAGAATACATGAATTAAAGAGCATTAGCCTGTCCTTGTGATGTTACTATAGAAATCCTTTACATCCCTTCACTTCTGAGAAGCATTTCACCTTTGGGACCAAAAGTAGGGATGGAGCAGGTCTCATAGCCCTTAAAAAACTCACTTATGTCACCATGTTGGACTTTGGTGAAATTGTGCTTTGGATTGACTTTGATGACTTCCGAGATTGTTAAACATTTAATAGTGTCTGGGTAAAGCTAATGAAACAGGAAAAAAACCCTACAACTCAAGTCAAATGAGTTTCAAATAAAAAAATATTACAACCAATACTAAAGGAGAAAAATGGCCTCTGATACATTCTTTGGCAGGTGATTTATTTTTAATTTAATTTTTTTGAGTGAAAGTTATATTTGGGACATACCGAGATAAACTAAAGAAAGGAAACCACACCTGACCTTGATAAGAAATGATACCTAGGGGATCCAGAGTAGGAAGTAAAGGACTCCAGAAAACCTGAAGTAATCATCTAGGACTAAGATTTCTTATATGAAAGGAAGAGTAACTTAAAATGCATTTTACATGTTCATGCTACCAAGGAGCTTTCTTTTGTTAATTATTTGCTGTCACATAATTTCATTTTCAGTTTCAACCATTATACTTTAGATTTATTTTTCTTCAAACAAAAAAGGACAGCTATCTTTAATAAATACTCACCCTTGTTTATGCAGGCATTTTTAGGAGGGACTTCCCAAATTGACTACTTTCATTTTATTTAACAATTACAGTCTAGAGGATGATTTCTACAAAAATGCACAGAAGCAAATATGAAGCATGGGAGCACATAGTGTAATGTGTTGGATTAGAATTGCTGTTATTAATATTATAGTCTCTTGCTTTCTCCCTCTTTCTCCTTATTTTGCATATATAGATGTGTATATGTATGAAGGCATATGTTCTAGAATATAGCAATACATGTGTATATATAAATATATTCATATATATGTACATTTATGAATATTGAAAGTTAACAGCCGGTAGTAAGAGAAAACACATAATTATGCTCCTTGATTCATGAACACACACAGTATCACTATGTTACCAAAAATAGAATCAAGCATGTGTCTAATTAAACATCTGAATCCATCTTCCCTTTGAAAAGCATGCAAAAGTGATTAAAAACGTTAACATTAACTGAATATATAACTGGAAAAATTCAAATTGCAAGGCAAATGACAAAAAAATTTAACAAATAAAGTAAGGGACAGTTTTGGAAGGAAATCTCTATTATACAAGGAGCTAAAGACATGTCAAGTAAAAGAGAAGACTAATATAGTATTTTGGAATGAATATTTGGGCAGTAAAACTATAAAATACAAATAAGCCAATTGTTGCTATCTTAACCAAAACCAATTTTTCTTCCATTTGTTGCTACTGATTGTTAGAACAATTTGCATTTACCTGATGATTAAGAAAAGCCAAATCATTGCTGCTTTTTTCAAGTATGTTTGATAATTTTATTAATGAATACAATGTATTTTGGTCATACACACTCCTAGCCCTCCCCTCCCCCGCAACTCCTCATTGCTCCCTGCAACATGCCCTATTCCAAACTTCATTCATTTTTTTTTGTCCCTGAGTCAAGTTATTGCTGCTTGTATGCGCAAGTTATGTGGGCCATGCGTGGAACATAAGGTCCATAACATGGGCTACATCCCTGAAGAAAAATGACTCTCCCTCTCACAGTGACCATCAACTGTCAATAACTCCTTAGCTAGGTGTGAGGACTCATGTGCCACTCATGTATCAATGCTGAAATGTGACTATCTTTATATCGTGGAGGATTTATGCAGGTAAAAGAAGTGCTGGGAGCCCATGAGTGGTATGGCCCTGTCAGTCTAGAAGACTGATTCACAGCAGTCTCTCCCAACCTCTGGCTCTTACTATATTTCTACCACTTCTTTGACAATGTTTCCTGAGCTGTGGGCAGGGCTGTGGTGATACAGATGTCCATTTAGGGTTGAACACTTCACACTTGCCATACTTTGAACAAACATGAGCTTCTCTATTAACCATTACTGCCTGTTGCTAACAGAAACATCTCTTAACTAATTAGTGAAGACAAAGATGAGTATGTGAAATAGGTGGGATAAGCAAAAGTCACTGAAGAATTTTTTTCAGTAGCTGGAAAATTGTTTCTAGACTTGGAGATTATAGGAATGCTCACTTTATATAAAATCATTTGTCCCATTGTATTTTCTGTATCCTAGTTTTTGGACTCTCAAAAATAAATAAATGAGATAAAATTCAAAGTCTGGTAGAAAACTAGAGACATATAAATCCATCTCATAATCTACCTTGTCTGGAAGCCAAGATTCAACTATTGTTGCCAAAGGCAAATCCCATTAGCGCACTCTCTGTTGACAATGGAGCCCAATAAACAGGAGAAACTTGGCTCTTGTGACTGGAGGCCATAGGCATCTTCAGGGAGTCAGAACAGCAAGCAAAGTTTCTGTCCCTGCATAACAGTCTCCTGTGTAAAGATTGTTATATAGTTCTGCCATAATGAAAGCAGCTAATTAAGAGCATTAATTGTGCTTGGACAGTGACCAAGAGGAACATCAGAGACGAAGTATTGGCTGCCAGGAATCAGTCTGCTATGGGAGTTGCTTTTAGAATCACCCCAGCTCTCCCACAGCAATGAAAGGAAAGGTCCTTAATAGGTCACCAGGGGATGACACTGATTTCTGTGAATTATCATTTCTTTATTCTTCTAAGAATTATTTCACCTATGAAGCTGAATAACAAGCAAATAAGGATTGAATACAAAATAACAAAAGGAAAAAAACTGAAACAGTTTTGGGAGTTGTTTCTGTAGCATATATGTCAAGAACAGGGAAACATAGTCTCAGGAACTCTTAAGTTGAAGATGGAAGTAAAATTTATTGCTTTGGTAAT